TCTCCTTCCCTTTCTCTCTCTCTCTCTCTCTCTCTCTCTCTCTCTCTCTCTCTCTCTCTCTAAGCCAAAGTTTAGTTAACGACACTCGCCGCGCTTTGAAGTTCAACGAGCCCTTCCGCGGCTCCTATACTCTTCCCTCGATCGCGCTTATTAACGAAAATGGATCGACCGTGGCGTACGAACATGTCTCTGCTCGAGACATCATCGAGTTGTAGTTACCGAACGGTGTTTATTGTAAGCAAAAGCATCACGGTGTTACAAGCATCAGCGAGCTCTTTGATTTCCGAGAACGTTTTGCATCTCTTGTTAGAGTCTAAATGTCACTTATTAATCGCGTCAGATCGCTACCAGTAATATAATTACAATAGTTGACATTAGTTTGTACGACGATTGTTCGACAAAGATACCTGACATCAAAAGCAGTGAAACTTTTGAATGGAACTTTCGCGATTTTTCTTTCTCTTTGATTAGGAGTCACGATAAATTTAAACCAGCAATTTCGACGATTACTGAAAAAATTGCAGTGCAATTCTACCGAACGCATTGGAATTATCTCGGGAAATGTAACGATAGATTTCTGAGTACGTCGCATCACGATCGTGGGGCGCGAAAAAACTAAGTCATCGCGGATAATAGGCACAGTGCACTCCATGTGTCATAATAGAGCGGGTGGCAGATGGCACGTGACTCACGCGTGCGGCCACGCCGACGATTCGTAAATAAATTAGCCGTTATCGTATCTCATGCGTTACTTACGATTGCTTCATGACGAGACGTTTTCTAAGAAGCACTGCGGCTAGTTGCGCATACAAATCTCGATATTTTTATTGAAAAGTTTAGTATATTTTAAAATTATGGCTAAATTATACACGCGCACAGATTTTTCAAGTATTTTATAAAAGTAAAATTTTCAGAAATATTATATCTTGGGTGAAAATCATCGATGTACGCATGGTATTATCGATGCTGCTTTGTACTCAAAGTGTCGTTTTCATCTTTACACGCAGGTGAGACTAATCAGTTCAGCTGTGCTTAATACCGTACGATACAAGGGTCGGACGGGACTATTGCTAGTGCACTCAGGTAGAATAAGTGGACTTGCGGCTGGGCCGTTTAACGTCGACGTTGAGCCCCACACTTGCCGACGCGTGTCACGATCGCGATTTTGATCTGGTTTGACGGGAAGCCAGTCGATCCCAGACCATGGTTCATAGGTGGACGCCTCGAATGAAAAGGGGAGATCGATTCTATGATCACTCATTTCCCGATTTACTCGAACCGTAGTGTTCCGCGCTAAACTATTAAGCCGGGATGCGAACCGTAGATTTCCGAGTCCCTGCTAAGCTATTAAGCCGGGATTTCAACCGGTGTTTCGAGTACTCGCTAAATTATTAAGCAGGGATTCGAACCGAGGTGTTTCGAGTCCCCGCTAAGCTGTTAAGCCGAGATTCGAAACCGTAGTGTTTCGAGTCTCCGCTAAGCTGTTGAACCGGAATTCGAACCGTAGTGTTTCGAGACTCCGCTAAACTATTAAGCCGGAATTCGAACCGCAGCGCTTCGAGTATATACTGTACTAGTATACTAATTTGTCCGATACTAATATGTTTGATGAGCTCTTAAGGGAAAAAAATGCTATTCCTCCAAAAAATTCTCTTCTCAAAGAGTCGTTATTACATCCTTGGCGTTTCGAGGCGTTCTCGTTATTACAATAAAAGAGTCCAACGTGAATCTGAACTGAAGCGCTCGAGTTGTCACGGATAATCAATCAGTTTGTGAAAGACGCATGTACTTCGCGCGCATAGGGTTGCTCTGAGTCGCTTTAACACCTGGCTTGCCGATCGATACCGAGGCTCCCCGCGGTAGCTGCGCGTGCTCTTTTACACTCGTATTTTCGGACTAATTCGAGGTCTGCTGCTTCTCTCTCGGAGGGCGACCAAAATCAAAGACATTGCCGCTCTTGCGTCGTATGAGAAGGGAAATCCAATATAAAACCAATATCGAAAGTGACGAGCCGTGAATATTCCATCCTGTCTCGCGAGTCATCCTCTCTCTTTCTCCTGCTTCACCTCGCAAAAGTAATTTTCTTATGGGTATCTGGAATTTCATCCACGATGGCTCTTTGGACGAACGTGTTGGGAAATGATCGATATAACGCACTAGGACTCAAATTTATAGACTCGTATCTTTCTCGCACCACGTACAAATGTAACTACTTACTCAAGTCTCCGAGTCTCATATTCCCGCGCAAAAATTGCGCAACATGTGCATTTTGTGTGAAAAGGAAAATGCACTTGAAATTTTAACGAATCTAATCGCGAATTTTTAATCTCGACTTTTATAAAGCAAATTTTCCTTATAAAAGTAGTGTCGATATTTCCTAAGAAACTGTCTTCGATTATTTCCCAACGCCAAGTCTTTCCTTATTAATTAGTAATAAAGTAACATTGTGCAATTTATAATACACTACTCTGGACGAGTTTATTTTAGTACATACGAAATGTTCGTCTTCTCCGTGTTATCTCTCTACGACATGTTTCTTAAGCTATTGCATGAATTAACTTGACGCGTGTATCATTAATGCAGTGCTGCAATTAATAATTAAAATGGACACGTCGTGTCGTGTAACATATGCATTTTTTGTGCGATCTTTCAGACGGCGTGTGCGTCTCTCTCGAAAATAGAATAGCGTGGTGAAAACGACAGTTGTGGGAAACACATGTATGGTCATATGTAGCCACGATAAAATACTTGCGTGAATGCAAATTTAATACCAAAGTGAAGAAATATCGCGTTCAAGCATAATGAGATAAAATGTGCGAGAAAATACTCAACCTTGTTGAACGATCCATAGTTTGCAGCGGGGTTTACCACGATTTCTTTGGACGATACCTGTGACGCGCGAACGATCGTTTATTAGAATGTTATGTAAGTGAGAATTGAAATGGTTCGTTGTGTTTTAGTGCAATATTTGTCGGACGTTAAAGTTAAAAAAGGAAATGTTTTAGTTCTTACGTAAACGAGACATTATAAGAAAATTTTTAGTGTATATATTTATAAGAAGTATATATTATATATAATATATATATATATATATATATATATATATATATATATATATATATATTTTTTTTTTTAATATCGCAAGAGCAATGTTGTAGAGAGAAACAAGAGGAAAAGGGTAATATATATAGAATTTTTTAGGGAATATTGTATATGCATGAGGTACCGTATTGTGCGGTACGTACACACCTGTCTACGCGCTTACGCGTACGTAAAAATTCTTGGACAGAGCTTCTTTTAAGGGAAACTATGTGCGAGAAAAGTTTCTCGATAAAATTTGCCTATACACTGAAGGAAATGTCTGATGATGCTAACCAGAATTCTATTTAGGTTTACCAAACGTAGCATTCCAGTAATGCTTAAATACGTTTACCAAACCGTCTGGTATAGCATATAATTCACTTAGTGAATGTTATGAATACAGTTGTGGAGTAATGTTAGACTTCTTACCTAACCTAAAATCTAACCATATTATATGTAATTTTCATATACTTACTGTATATAATCATATATTTACTTCTAAATTCGTCGACATATCTTAAGAAATTTCATTCTTCCAAATATTTGACGGTTTCAGCGTTTACACTTTTATAGTCTTTACAAATTAGTATAAATGAAAAAGGAATCGTCGCATCGAGTAACAATTAACTATCGCGTCAATAGTATCACACGTCTAGAGAGAATTACCAAACTGTCTAGATATCTACAACTAAATGTCTCGGTATTGACTACCAGATCATCGAGGCATCGTAATCAGAATATTGTATATATGAACCAGATATCGCATATAAATTCACCATATTACTTTCATAAGACGAGTATAGTGTCATTCACCAAGCCATTTCTCTCAGTATAAGCTTTCCCAGGCGATTCTTCTCATTCACGATTTTTTCTCAACGATTTTATTTCCGCCATGCCCGATACCTTTCCACAACTATTGGCTAATGACCATCGCGCTTTCGCTCGTACGTTCTAGTCTTAATGGGATTCATTATCCCAAACTTGCGCACCCTCACATACTTCTTCTTTCTCTGATAGGAGCGCTAATGCGACTTCAAGTTGGCAGCATTTCCCAAATACAGTTTCCGATGAGTTTTCTCTCCTATTTTCCTCGTAGCGTGATTCCGTGATGCACATTTCATGGTTAAAAAAGATGGACGAATACCATAGAGAAAGAATCGTACATTTGTGCATTATTTTTCATATTTCTTGAATAATGATAAGTAGCGCCGTGAAATAAACGAAGTAAACGAGAAGACATCAACGTTACTCACATTTGTTTAATGTCTCGAAACATATATCGCTGAACAAGAGTGATACATTTTGTATGTAAATTTGCATTTTTGCCTTCGCGACAGGTGAAACTTTCCATCATCTGCACTGATCCCGTATCCATCACCTCCGGGTACAAGCGATCCTCGGCCGGGTTGGAAATGTAAATCAAACCGAGGCTGAACAGTACACCCTCGCGCATCCTGCGCATCGCCCCGGGGCGCGAAGTATGTAAATGACACGGTGCGGCGCGTCAGATACGATCTCGTTACCAGCGCGACAGACGCAGAGACCGCGAGAGGGAGAATTTATTGCACAGGGATCAACGCTTACCGGCGCTTCAAGCAGCGTTGATACCCGTGCTATCAGGTGAGGAGCTTGCGAACGTCATTTAAATTTTTCTTTTAAACAGGAAAACGGTGTCCAGAAATTGTCGCCTCCTATATCTTTCGTCCTCCCATTTTGCCGCGTTATCTTTCTATTTAGTTTAAAAACAGATTTAGAATTTTTCACGATGTACTTTTAATTTCTGTTATTTGATGCGTACGTAACGCATCTAAAACAAGGAAACAAGAATCATTATTAGAGATCTCGTTTTGTCGCTGCACAGCAAACATCGTTTCTCGGTGGGGCTTTGTTGATAAAGGATGAATATAGTGGTGACTTACCGCGGCAGGACACGGCGAACTGTCCCTGGAGAGACTGCCGAGAGTCACCAATAAGCGACGCGGGGCCCCCAACACTGAATCTCGCCATCCCTCTGCGAAGCAAGAAACAAAATTGCATTATATATCGATGGACGTTTCTCATTCGGTGTGTAATGTGACATCTGTTTCTTTAAGAAGTGACTCGATTAACTTACTTGAGTTAGACTTATTGGACAAAAAATAGAGTGACATTTGCGTATCTCTCAAAGTTGAAGGAAATACCAATTTAGAAACATCTAGAAACATCGTGTAAACATGGCTAAATTCGATATCTTTTTTCGTATTTTTGTGAAAGTCGAAGGGCTTCGTATTGGTTGTAACTATAACTCGTTATTGTTAGATGTGAGAATGAATGACATAAACGGGAAATTTTCAATTAAGGACAATACCGTGCGGCCATACTATGCCTAAATCCGGTTTTAACGCCACCCTTAATATAAACGAGACAAAGCGATCCGTCATCAGGACGTTTAATGAAAGTCGCGCCTATAACTTGGGGCCGTCCGGCTTAAGACGCAAATGGAGAAGATGGGAAAGCAGAGAGAGAGAGAGAGAGAGAGAGAGAGAGAGAGAGAGAGAGAGAAAAGGAGTTCAAGGTGGAGACTGAACGTTAAATCCAACAATATGAAAGTCCCCTACGGCTTACTTCCTAGCCTACCCTCTCTGTGGTAACTACATTATTCCGCGAACATGTACGCCCTTATCGTATATTATGTTGCGATCTCATCAACAGTCAAACTTGAGACATTAGGAAAGATATCAGAATAATTAAAAGGTAAAATATAAACAGACTGTATGGATTCGCAAGTCCATTATATTTTATTCGTTTGATGGGCATCTTTTTACCCTAAACAGCTAAATAATTTTTCAGACAAACGTGCACATTTCGTTACTTTTACACATATAAATAATATATATGTATATATATATATATATATATATATATATATATATATATATATATATATATATATATAAAGTTGCGGCTCAACCCCTCGGTCGAGAAGAATAAGATGCGGTTAATGCCATACACCCTGGTTGGTTGTCGGATTAATAAATCTCAATTACGCGAGTTAATGCAGAGGGTAATTTTCGCCCCCGAGTCTCGCAAGCCACCGGATGCGAGGGCGAAGGCATTTCTATCGTGTATTGTTGCCGAGACAATAACGTGGACCATTCCATCACGCTTGTAAACCCGTCGTCTAATGTTCTTGAGACTTGTATCGTTGTGTATCTGTTGTTAACCTATCTGTGATGTCAATCAGCAGTAAAGAGAGATAGTCGGCTGTTTTAAAGAGTTAACAAATAAAGAAAAATATGAGTGCACACACATATACGCGGTCACGATAAATGTGAAAAATATGTTGGAAATACTTGAAGTAACAAGTCGACGGGAAAAGTTTTGATGGATACTCATAGCGATACGCTACATGTACATATATATGCACTGAAAATACATAGTACGCGAAAGATGTCTTCTCCACTCGAGATGGAGTGAAATTTCGTATTCCTAGCTAGGATCTGTCTCGAGGGATTAAGGTCGCCCCGACCGATGGTGAGCGTCGCGACGTCGACGTCGCGAGTTAGCTAGACAGTCAGCCAGTCGCTGAATACAAATACACCTCTCGTTTGCGCGTCGAATTAAACCGAAATAAATCATAAATATTAAACGAGGCTTTCAGTTGCGGGATTAGGAGGGTTGGATCGTCCCCTCGTCGGGCCCCGCGATGGGCGGAAATTGCGCACGGCGCTCCCTTCCTTCCCTACGGCCATCCAGCGGAGACTCCGGTTCGCCCGAGAATTTCAATGACAATAGACTCGGTGCTCGACCGAGTACGCCGTACATCTTGCGTACCACCGCTCTAACCGCCGGAGAAAAGGTGTCTTCGACAGGTGACACGAGGACACTCCGATCCACTCGATCCTCTCGTAGACTTTGGTTGACCAGAGCAGCGTTTTGGGTGACCTAGACTCCCGTAGGCACTTTGGTCGGAACACGTTGAATCGGCCGCAGTTTTCCAGTGTTTCCATGTAATTTCATCAACGAAAAAGATTCAAACTCGTTTGCATCGAACTTGTAAAAAGGATCAGCAGAATGAAGAAAGTTGTGGGAGCCGTTCTATTGAAAAGCTAGAGTTTCTGATCTTGTTTCGCGACGAGCTACAACTTGTGTAAGTGGATTAAACCTCTCTACGCCGAGAAAAGCACAACGAAATTATGCCTGGCGGCCTTTATCGATATCTGTCCAAGAGATCCAAGTATCACGCTTATATCCATTCGATTACTTGGAGATATGCCGATGAGATTTTTGACACATCGCGCGAAAATACATACTGCTTTGTACCGTCAGGAAAGTTAGCTCGGTCCCAAGAAAATCGAATTCTCGTTCCCACCCCGCACGAACGAAATGGCTTGATTAACCGACGGTGCGTCGTTACTGCGGCTACCCTGCCGGCCCGCTGCTATTACCTTGTAAGGGTGGACTAGGCTCAAGGGCTGCTTCGGGCAAGAAGAAGATGGGAGAGACCACTTGCCCTTTATTCGCCGATGTTGCGATCGCTTTTTCCTTTCGCTCAATAAAAAGCCTTTCATCGCGTGTCTAGCCAGAACAGCGTTTCGGAAGAAACATCGTCTCGCTTCAACTTGGAAATCGACCGCATCCTTAAGTCCTTCCTTGCGCGCGAGCACGGTAATCGCGAGGGGAAACTCTCTTTTCCTCTCGCTCGGATCAATTCAGTTTGTCGCGCGGCATATGGGGGAAGCGCTAATGCCGTTTTATGGGCAGACTGATACCCATAACGCAACATGGTAGCTCGTGATGATACCGCTTCACTTGTGAGCGGTAGAACACGTGGAAGGAGACAGGGAGACCTGTCGCCTGGAGGTTGTCGCCACTGTGTCGTCATCGGGAATACCGTCGTTGCATACCGAATAATGTGTGCTATGTGACGCTTTACTTTATTCATAAGGCGGGATGACTAGCTTTTACGAATACGACAAAAGTGAGGGTGTGCGAGGAAGGAAGCAGATGTTTCACGACTACGCGAGATACGGAGTAGCGATGCGAGCAGCGTACGACTCATCTTTCGTATTCTATCCTATGTCTACTAGCGCTTGCAGAAACATTAGACGAGACGTGTCTGTTCGTCTCATCGCAACGCGCGCGTCGATAGACCGATCTTCTCTCAATAAAAAACCCTTCTCTCCATCTCGAAAAATATCATTTACGCAGTAGTTTACAAAATGGTAATGATTTCTCTGCACAGTTTAACGAGTTCTGTATAAAAGAACATCTCGTAACAGACTATATTATGTGTGTATGTATATTAACAAAAGCATCTGACGAAATGTGGAAAAATTTACTTTCGGGTCCCGGCCCAGTAACGCTCTCTCGCTTCTGATATATCTCCCTTTTTACCTCTAGATCTTTCTTACATATGTTTCAAATATGTTTACACTTATATAGTGCAGTGAAATGCTTGATTCCAAGCTTGATGCCGCATTCTTTGTCTTCGACGTTTCGTGAACGTTTCAGTTCACTTCTTCAGTTTCGCTTCATCTCTGAGTCTCATGTCGCTTCTTTACTAAAGAAGTGAATTGGAATGTTCACGAAACGTCGGAAAGAAATCCATGAAGAACGTGAAGCACTACGAGTCCCGGAAACTAGATCAGACAAAAACAATCGTTTAGCGCTCAACTCTGAGCGATCCCGGCATAATCTCTATCGGCCGTGATTTAAACGCAAGCAACTCTCGAAAGGCACCGAGGTACTTTTTATCGCGTTGCGTTGTATTATTATTCACTTTTTCGAGGAAAAACAAGCCTAGGTCGTAATAGTACGTCACTAGCATCGACTATGTTATTCGTTTCGTAATTCCTAACTGATTACAAAGTCCTTCTTTTAATCAGTTGCATCTAATAACGGGAGATTCTCGTTATACGAAACGCTCGTAACGTTCTTTCGTCGAAAGCGATCTCATGCGAGGCGAAAATTAACGCAAGTTGCGAAATGTCGGTCTGCTGTCAGTGAGAGTTTACGGCTCGTTGGTAATTGCCAGCAAATACACATTATTTGCCGGCAATGCACATGTGCTTAAGTTGTGAGGTAAACTATGAGAAACTATATTCGCGTCAACCTCCTTCGAGTGTCGTCAATATTGAAAATGAAATGATTTGTTTCGCGGCGTTGGGAGCGTTGCATTACACGCGCAGCGTTCATTAATTACACTACTCAGAGAGTTTCGTTTTCAAAGAGCACCATTTATTCACCATTTATTGCCAACATGCACGGCATGGAAGAACGAACGATCTTACCGTTATGACGATTGTTCACGTTTGCTACGTTTGCTACGTAGCTCTTGCTATCGCAGTAGATCAAACTTGTTACCGCGATATTCTTGAAATCGTAGGATCGACCAGCCAATCGGGAAGCCAGAGTTCGAAGGCCCGATACGTTCGAGTCGCGCAAAAGACGCGCGGACGGATAGATTTGTCGCAACATTGTCGCGCGTGTGCGTTGCTTCGTTACCAACTGTGTGTGACTACTGCACGCAGCAAATTGACACGCAACATTAATGGTCTTTTCCGCGTTGACGTTTGCGTTCGTCAGTGTACACCTGACCATACACTTGAAATTATGGCGTCGACCGGCTAATAATCATATCCGCGAAGCCGACTAATAATCACATTGGCGCCGACGCCATAATTAGCAGATATTAGCACTCGGGAGTTTATCGACGTAATTTACACAGTGTCATTTGGAATTGCGCGATTTTCAAGTGCAGACGCTCAGGTAAGATACGCATAGGTTTGCTCTTCCTTCGCTTCGTCCTCCTTTTAATAGGAACGCCGAAGTAATGCGCGAGACACGGGCGCACACCCATGGGAGCCTTTTTCTTAAAATTCAAAGGAACAGAGCAATCGCACACGTGCCCACGTTAGAGGAGGCAAAGGGGGTCGTGGGGAACCGGGAGCAGTAGAAGAGAGTTGGAGGGTGAAACGGAAAGGAGAGCTCGAGTGAGATTTTCAGACAAAGGCCGCCGCTCGAGCGGTT